AGACTATTGGTTTGGCCTGTATGTTTTTCTTATAGTTTAGCACTGTGAGCAATATAAAAAAATGTTTTAATGTTCCATTGCTACTATAATAATGGGGAGGACATTCACAAGTGTTAATAGTTCTTAAATAAGAGTCTACAAGATCACTAAAATGTTTACATTATTTCATTTTGAGTTATTTTACCATATTCATTTTCTATGTAGAAAAATTGAGCAGTTAATTTAGGCATACTGAATTGGGATATGACTTACTTTATTATTAATGCAGTGTGTAAACACTGGATGGAGTCTTTGTATTAATGCATTTTGATACATTCGTGTTTTTAATGTGGTGTGGAGGACCCAAATGTTCTTTGTGCCCAGGGCCCCAATAAAGCTTAATCCGCCTCCGGCTGTAGCTTCCAGTTCATAGATACTTGGTGTCATTTTCTTTCTTTGCCCCCAGAGGCGGAGGGAACCCCAAATGGGACAATGCCCCAGAATCCAGGCTTCAAGAACTGTGCCTCCTGCCCGCACTCATTTTCACCAGGGCTGTACTGCTCAGGGCGGCCCACATCGCCAACCAATGTGCAATCTGTAAATCCTTCCTGCCACGGATGCAGGAGGCCCAAGAACTTTGACTTCAGGAGTTCCTCATGGAGGAGACCATGCGCCCGTGGGCGTGTTCCCATATGAGACCGGCGAAACCGCCGATGCACCGCCTGTCACAGACAAACAGCGCTACACTGAGCCTCTCTCAGGCACAGATCCCAATGGTACCGAGAACCACAAGCCAGCCATGAGCAGAAGAAACAGGGTCAAGGGCATAAGGGCAGATCCCTGTCCAGGACTGCCCAAAAATGCAGCATTGCCTCCCCAAGCAGTGCCAGCTCGGGCAAGAAGTCACATGTCGACCCGGCTGCTCCAGCTCCCAAGCTCCCCCGGCTCAAGGGTAAGGACAAGCACCTGTGGAAGCCGATGGTACAAGCGCCGGCTCCGATTACTGCACTGGCACCTGCACGCCTACTGCCTGTACCTCCGATGCCGCCTGGACGCTCGGGATCATCCCATGCAACTCCTCGTATTCCTAGCTGCCTTAACCCGCTGATGTCTACTGAAGAACTGCTGCTCCTGTACCCTGGTTCTTCCCTGCTTCCTGGACCACTGACCATCTCCGTCCTGCCTGACAGACGAACCATTATTGCTGCTGCTGGAGTGGTGCATCCCTTTTCCCCACCTCAACCCTCTGGTACCAATGGCACCACCATTGCCAGAACCATCCTCCAAGTTCGAGGGCTTCATTCTCGCCGGCCCCCCAACAGAATTCAGAGTCATGGCACAGACCTCCTCACTCGCCCCGGCTTACGACCCTGGTGCGAACCACCCATGCTCAGAGACCTTTACTACTGGGCACCTCAAGATTCTTGCCAAGCATGCCCTGCCTTGTCTGTGGCTTTGTATCAGCTGTCCCCAGTGTGCCCTCCGGCACCCTCTGTGTATGAGAAGGAGGAAGGAGAGATGGAACTGGTACTGCCAGTTCTCACAGTGGCCTGTTCCTTCCCAGATGAGGCGCTCATGCCGACCTCTCTGTCCCCACCAGATGACCACCGCCAATATCAGGAGCTATTACACTTGCACTCCCATTGGAGGAGATCCAGGACACCCAGCACCAAAAGCTGGACATCCTCCAACCCCAGGGACCCTCATGATGGCTCTCCCCATTAACAAGGCTATCCTGCAACCGGCTCAGACGGTATGACATACCTCTGCCTCCTGTGCCCCCGCCCCGAAAAGGGCAGAGAGATGGTACTTCGTCCCCACCAAAGGCATGGAGTTTCTCTTTACTCACCCACACCCAACTCCTTGGTGGTCTGGTTGGTGGCTCTCAACATGAAGGACGCCTATTTCCACATCGATATTCACCCAGCCCATTGAAAGTTCCTCCACTTCACACTGGGGCACAGCCCCTACCAATTCCATGTCCTGCCTTTCGGCACAGCAATGGCTCCACATATATTCACCAAAGTCTTCGCTGTCATAGCAACACAGATGTGCAGTCTCGGCTACTCTGGTTTCCCTTACCTGGATGAATGGATCCTTGTTGCACTCTCCCACCCCTGCCTACTCTCCGCCATCCTCACTCTCCATCCATCTCTCAGGGTCTGCTTCAACAAGGAGAAGTCAGTTCTTATCCCTACCCAGATGATCGACTTTATTGGGGCATGGCTCGACTCCATCATAGCATGGGCCTTCCTTCCGGCGGACCACTTCATCACCATCGTGAATCAAACTGCTGGCCTGCGCTGCAACCCCCGCATCACTATCCACTGCTGCCTCCCCCTTCTTGGACATCTGACAGTGTGCACCTCGGTCGTGCCACATGCCTGTCTTCACATGCGTTGCCTTCAGCTTGGCTCCTCTCTGTCTACAGACCACAATGTGACCACCTGGACAGCAAGATCCTGATTCCCCAGCTGGCACTGCTGTCCTTTATCTGGTGGATCGACTCTACCCACCTGCTGGTCAGTACTCCCTTCAAGCCACCCACACCACAAGCCATGCTCACAACAGATGCCTCCCTCATGGGTGGGGGTGCTCTCTAGGCAGCCACTCTGCGCAGGGCATCTGGATGCCTCGAGAAGCAAGGATGCATGTAAATCTCATAGACTGCCCGCAGTTCCCTCTCACCTACCAGACATTTCTTCCCCACATACAGGCCAAACACATCCAAATGCTCTCTGACAACATTGCAGTGGTGGTCTACATCAACAAACAGGCGGCGCCAGAACTCCCTCCCTCTGTTCAGAGTCCATCCATCTCTCGAACTAGGGCATCAAACATCAGGTCACGCTCCAGGCTATGTATCTCCCTGGCACCCACTAATGCGCTCAGTAGGATTCTCTGCCTGAACCATGAGTGGGAACTGCACGACAACATCCTATGGTACCTTTCCCATAAGTGGGGCACACCGCAATGGGATCTCTCCGCCACTCGTGAGAATCACAAACTTCCGCTTTACTGTTCCAGGGGAGCTGTGGTGGAGGACTCGCAGGGCAATGCCCTTCTCCTCCCTGGATGGACTCTCTCCACTCCGCCTTTCCTCCCATATCCTCCTCCCACAAATCCTACGCAAGATTTGCCGGGATCGAGCCCTGTTTTGGCCCTGCCAGTTTTGGTTCATGGACCTCCTGAACCTCTCCACCCGAACACCACTCTGCCTCCACACACTCCCAGATCTCCTCACGCAGGACCGGGGCCAACTCCGACATCCCAATCCTGGCCCTCTTCACCTCACAGCTTGGTTTTTGGATGGAGTTTGGAGATAGACAGAGCATACTTCATCTCTGTGCGAAGTATCCTCACCCAAAGAAACCGGGCATCCACCGGGACCTGCTTGTGACGTTATTGACATGAACTGTGACCGTATAGATCATTGTTGCAACCAAGGTCCTATAGTTGTACCAAACCTTGTACAAAGGAGGTCAAGTAAGGTGTCTACGGAAAGGTTGTAATTTGCTGGTTATGATTATGCTGATATTACCTCTTACACCTCCTCCAGCTGCTTCTCTCAAGCCTCCATCACCTCTTTCTTCTCTGGGTTTGACCCTCATCCATACCCCAAACTCAGCTGAGGTGAGCTGAACAGGCTGGATTTGAATCTTGTTACATATAGCTTGACATTCCTCAAGCTAAAAACTGTTGCCCACACTGTTCGGATTCAGAGTCAGACAGCTTGCCTTCCTCACTGGAGAAGGGGCTGAGGGAGGAGGAAGAGGAGTCAAAGGACTCATATCTACTGGATTTTTTGTCCTTTTTCTTTCCCTTTCATGACTTTTAAACCTTTTTAGTGCACTGTGGGAGCGTTGAAGTTCTGCTGCGGCTTTGGTGAGGCCTTTTGTGGCTTACATTTCTCAGGATCTGAAGCCATCTCAAGAGGTCTTCCTCATAATCCTCCCCTATTGGGTACCATTTCCTGGGGGGAAGAGGGAATTCTTGTCCAACCCTTCCTGGTTAGCTTGGGAGGAAGGGCCCTGCTTCTTTCCCCAAGGTGCTCAGGATCCACTTTAAGAACTGGACGGAGGGACTGGTGGCCCTGCAAGCGTCTCCTCTTTGTTCTGCAAGAGTCTTCTGTTACTTATCCCTGAGTCAAGTGGTCAGGGTCCTCCTTACTTTTAGAGCTTCTCCCTGCTCTGCACTGGGGGTTCTGGTACATTTTTCCTCAGTTGAAGCCACAGTTGCCTTGGTGGGAAGAAGACCCCACCTAGCTTTTTGATTAGTAGCCCTCAGCCCTAATGAAATTAGGGTTGGTTGGCTGGGTGCAGGCTGGGCATAACTCACTGTCTGCCGAGCCTGGGAAGGCTGCCTTACAAACAGAGCACTGCTTGGCTTTAACCCTGTGTTTTCTTGTTGTTCTGCCATGCTTACAGAGTGGCAGAAGAGCCAACAGGGAAACGCTGCAGTGGATGCTCAGAGAGGGTTAAACTACTGAAGATGTAACTGACCCAGGAAGGAGGAGAAAGGGGGGGCAGGAGAAACTGCTCCCCACTGCCCCAAAACTGGGCAGAAACAACTCAAATTGAAAGGTAAGGGTGAGAGCAAGAGAAACCAACACCATCTGCTGCCATGGAGGCAGAGAATCTGGTGGTAAGAAGGAGCAGAGGGATCCTGTCCAGAGCATGAGGCACCAAAACACTGATCTGCCTCCACGAAGCTGCAGAGAGAGGAGAGAAGCCCAGATGTCCAGAATTGTGGGAAATGCTGAGCTGCAGAAAAAGTAAATATAACATGTATATGCAAAAAGATTTGAGACATGTGTACAGATGTGAGACGTGTACACACAGAAGTGTCATCAGGGCATTCAGAAGATATATACAGGTAAATGTAATTTACTTAAACACCAGATGCATTAATAGAAGACTAGATCCTATAGTATGGAATACAATTTTTTATCTAATAAAACTTTCTTTAATAATATTTGCCCTCTGCAGTTATGCATTTCAGTCATTTTTTCAGATAGAAAGTGCCCAGCCTCCTTCCATAGACATGTAACTGTGGCATAAAAACATTTAAGAGTCCTGTTTCTTAATCAAAATCATTTTATGAAAAACTAAAAATTAATTTTGCATAAAAGCTATTTTGACAACACAAAAAGCCATTAACCCAGCATGCATGAGTGCCTCTACTCCTCCCCCAAACAAATTCAGCTAAGAAATTCCAGTTGGGAGTGGGCACAGACAAACAGACCAGTAAAGTATACAGTGTGCATGATAGAAAGTGCCTGTTATGTTTATAGTGCTATCCCGCTTCTGGAGAGAAAACCTCTTATGAAATCTTTCTGTGTTTCTAACACTGTTGCAAAGCTACAAGGAATTCTAATTGTATAAACAGTTATGGGGAAATGTGAGAAAGTGTGAGGCTATGTCAAATCAGTGGCACATATGATAAATACATCACAGCATTAGGCATGTTGGATATGAATTTTCTGACTAGCAACCCAGATGCATTTACCAAAACTGTCACAAAGTTAGCTAGTTTTCCTGTTTGATTACACAACCAGCTTCACAAAGCTAAAGCATGTACAGCAGGTCACTTTCCCTTCTCATCCATTTAGGTGGATTTTATTTTTAATAATACATGATCGCCAATATTTAGAATATGAATAAAATCTGCTGCTCACACAAGCCTAAGAATACATATTTTAAAATGACTTATTGGATATCTTCATGTTTTGTTTAAGGCATGAACAATGGCATATGAATGGGAACAGCTTCCAGAAAAGCATTGTGTCTTTTTGACAAGGCCAGTCCAAGCACATCACACTAAAGGACTAGCCTCAAGCTGGAAATGATAGACTGTTGTAACACAAGAGTTTTTAACAAAATAAGTTAAAACAAAATGTTTTTTTTTCTTTCATTTTGTTTGTTTGTTGTTACTCTCAATGTCTGTTTTAAGCACCAGTTGCAGTTTTGTGTATTACAACCTCTTCCGAGCAACTTTGGATAATGAATCTGCTTCCTTTGTTTTGCATTTTTAATACATGAAACTTTAAAGGTTATTTTTAAATGGCTGCTGCAAAATAAAAAGGATCCAAAAGTGGTCAGGGACCTGGGTCTAATGCACTTTCGAAAGTCCATTATAAAGATGAATATAAAAGCGAATGGTAGGTTTTCTGTAGACCCACAAACCACACTTAGCTATAAGAAACATATTGTGCATAGTTATTATTTTTTTCTTCAGAGAGTGATATGTTTACTAGATCTACATTCTCAGTTTACCAGAGTATGGGGGTTTCTACTTTACTAAAGCCAGGATCCTTTCGCAGTTCCCAATAGGTGTCATTAGAAACCCAGCTCTCTCTTTGATTGGCATCGATAACTTTTCTGCAAAAGCAAAAAAAAAAAAAAAGACAAAACAAACCCAGATGAAAATGGTCTTAATAAAGGTTTGATTTACTATTTTAAAAGGATACAGCATAAACATCAGAGATTTAAAAATAAAACAATTTCATAACCGGTGTTAAAAGTGAAGGCATTTTAGAACTTCTAAGGATCCAATTCTACCATCTGATTCATACAACCCTGCACCCATGTGAAGCCCTATTGACTTCAATGGACTCTGCGTGTGTGTATGGGTCCAACCATGTAGACCAGATTGCAAGCTGGGAGCCTAATTTACTTCCACCATTTATGCCGTTTGTTTCCTTTCTGCATTTTACTCATTTTCTACAATAAAATTATGCCAATCAGTTTCACCAGTTAAGGGAATGTTTTAATTAAAACAAACAAAAAAACCACACTACCTTTCCCCACAAAAACAAAACAAAAACCAGAGTAATTACAATTTGAAAAACTACCTTAAAAATTCTGTTCAAGTCGTTTTAAACCTTCTTTCCACCACCACTTTTTTTTTTTTTTTTTTTAAATACACAGCTAAATTTAGGACAAAAATGAGTTGACACATTCCCTTTGGAATTTCCTTCTCCACTATTAAGCTTGAGGCACATTGGCAGGGTGATATGAAGAAAATTTGTAAGGCTATTGCCCACGTTTTACTTCTCTTGTGGACTAACAGGGAACGTTGGCTTCCTAGTTTGGTTAGTCAGTATTCAATTCATTTAAAAATATGTTAAAATTGCCTCAGACAGGAGTCAGCACTCTGAAAATATTTCTTGAAATTGGATTGTTTCCATCTTTTCACTTCTTTATTACACTACTCTGGGCCTGCCTATTTAAGAGGCAGATGCCCTCTGCGTTGTCCTCTTATGCTGATGGCTGCACAGAAAACAAATTATAGACTTATTACTGAAATCACTTTACTCACTTAAAAAATTTTGGTTTGTATTCAATGTTGTTCTCCTCCATGTTCCGCCTTCGACTTCTCTGGAGTTCCTCTATTCTTTGCTTTTCTGTGGCTGCTGCTTCTACATTTCCTTCTTCCAAAAGTCTATACAGATAACAATGGATCTTTTAGTAAATATACAATCTCATCTTCTGTAAAAGCATATTCTGTAACAACATTGCCAGAAAAACATTCGTCCCAGAAAACAAGGCCAGCAGCCTTGAAAAGCTCTTTGTCCTTGAAAAGAGCTACTGAGTTCTATGCACCTGCTTTAAGGCCAGAGCCCATTGAAAAAGAAATAGTAAAATTATTTAATTTATACTTCGGAGTCTGAAATATAATTTCTTAGTCTTGTTTACGTTTTCAGCTCCTCAAAGCAAGCCTCCTACTCTCTGCACAAACAACAGGATAGGATCCTTCCCTAGCATGCAAGAGAATGCTAAGAAACAAGAATCGCTGATATGCTGGCTCACCATCTACACATGCATGAGCTATAGAAAGGCATGTGCATCTCTCCAGCTATCATATGATACTGCCAACAGCAAGTACTACCAATGGGCAAACGTTGCTTCTGTTCATGGGAGTAGGAAAGGACATGCCAGAGCATGTATTTGCTGGAAATTTCTGGAATTCTGCCTCTGCCAGAAGAATTCCCATAGCACCAGGATCTCTATGTTTCCGTTTCCTGAGCTGGATAAGCCAAGATTTTGGCTTACCGTAATATTTAATATTTTCTTTTCTAGCAGAATCTAAGGCATAGCACATATTATAGTGCAGATCTGGGCAAAATTCAATGCTGGGGTTCAAACTCTGCCATAAAACAATCATAAATATTAAACATATAAATGAGCTTTCTTGCCTCTGATCTGGCCTGAATCGTGCATCTGTTGTTGGAAGAATATCTTTCAATACAGGATCTAACTCATTGAGTTCAATAGCAAACCTTGTAAAGCCATAATAACGTTCATAGTGGGTTGGCATGGAGCCTGTATAAACATATTTGAGAAAGAAAATGCTTATTTTACTATTTTTATAAACACATACATAGAGCCCAATGAATTTATAAAGCTATAACAGCCAATAAAATATTTATACATTCTAATTCCTTTATTTGATATAATTTTAAAATGTATCAAATATTATTTTCTAGGTAAAACATCTTTCATTTAATATTAATGGTACCTTATTACACAGTAGAGTTATTTACATAACAGATCAAGACTTTTAAAATCTTTCTTTGCTTTTAGGAAATATCTGAAATATTTCTTCTTTCAAATTAAAAATAAACCAGTCTCCACAAAAGCAAATGTATTGGATCTCCCTCCAAATGTTGGTACCTAAACAGGTTCATAGGGCGTGATTCACCATTTCCCTACATCTCCTCTCCACCAGTGCAAAGTGGGTGTAAAATGCCATCAAATTAGAATAGGGACTGTTATATACCCTGTGATGTTCTCTGATAAAAGATGACCATGTAGATCATTGCTGCCATCACTCTTATATAATTGCAACAAATCTTGTACAAAATGTGGCATTTAAGATGCCTATGGAAAGGTTATGATTCGCTGAAATGATTATGCTATCTTTATGCATGTATCATTTTTGTATTTCAAGTTATGCGTATTGGCTCTATACCTGGATTTCTCATATTTTTGGTCCTGGGGTAACACCCACAAGGTATTTAGCTTGCACATCTTGAAGGGACTATTCAAATTAAGTGGCTCAACAAGGAACACTTAACTCACAATGGACCATGGGAAATACCTATCTATACTCAATGGACTTTCCTGCTATGACTAAGCGAAATTATGCAGGCACATGTGACTTGCCCAAGTGACTCCAAACTCCACCTTTTATCCAATTTTCCACTAGATGTGCTAAGGGCTTTGTTAAGAACATAAGAATGGCCATACTGGGTCAGACCAAAGATCCATCCCGCCCAGTATGCTGTCTGCCAACAGTGGTCAATGCCAGGTGCCTCAGAGGGAGTGAACCTAACAGGTAATGATCAAGTGATCTCTCTCCTGCCATCCATCTCCACCCTCTGACAAACAGAGGCTAGGGACACCATTCCTTTGTTTGAAACAATGGATTTCCCTCCACATGGCAGAAGCTATAAAAGGCCCCAGAAACATCTCCATTTTGCCTCTTTCCTGCTCAAACCTCTGAACTATGAACTTATACTAATGGGAGCATTCTAACCAAGGGACAGAGGTCCTTCCAATGATTTGGAAGCAACCAGAGACTTTAATTAAGCCAGCAGTTTATTCCATCACCGCTACAAGCCTGAACCAAGAACTTTGCAATTACTATACGTATTTGATTCCTTTAACCAATTTTAACTCTCACCTTTCTTTCTTTTTATGAATAAACCTTTAGATTTTAGATACTAAAATCAGCGTGTTTATTGGGTAAGATCTGAGTTATATATTGACTAGGGTGTGTGGCTGGTCCTTTGGGATTGGAAGAACCTTTCATTTGATGAAACTGGTTGCAAGGAACCACTCATCATTAAGTCTAGTGTTTTTGGTGGTGATACAAGGACTGGAATGCCTAAGGAAACTGCTGTTTTGACTTCTTGTTAGCCAGTGTGGTGAAACAGAAGTTTACTTTTATTGCTGGTTTGGTTATCTTAAGGGAAAATAACCAGCAGTTTTGGGGTGTATCTGCCCTATTTCTCAGCAGTTTGTCCTGAATTTGGTATTCTCAGTTGTGACCCACAAAGGCACGGCTACACACCCACTTTGCTCTAGAGTAAGGAGGTGCATGGTAATGGTGGTTTGAACCCACATTGTCTCTTTAAGCAAGTAAGCAATTTTTAAGAAACATAAGTCAATGGGAACCGCAAGTGCTCACTATATTTGAAAACCAGACCATTAGGGCAATAAGGGATTGACACAACCAACCTGTTTCTCCTTTCACTTATACTGGTTTTACACCAATGTAATTCTGTTTAATCCAATGGAGATACCCTGATCTGCACAAGTGTGAGAGGAGGATAAGGCTAACATTTACATTTTCCTTACTCCAAAATCCAATTATTTCCTCAGATTATGTTCCCAACATGCTAAATACCTGTGACCAAATTTTAGCCTCAGATTTGGAGCGAAATCTAAAAAATGACTCATGAGATGGAGCACACACACTTTTTAGATACTTTTACATTCAATAATAAAAGATACCGATAGCTGCTGTGCCAATTCCTCGTTATTTATCTAGCTGTATATTTTGTTTCTCAATTTGTATTTAAAATGGGTAGCTAAAAGCAGCTTTTAGTGAGACTAAAGCCACCTGAAGGATTTCAGTTGACCAGAATTTTCTTACCTGGCCTCCATATACATTTTGCTGACGGTGCAACCCCACAGTATAACCCTTCATGCCACTTTCCAAAGAGGCGATGCACCACCTTTCCTTCTTGGTCCATGACAACCCCTTGGACTTCATTTACATTTGAATTCCAATAATTCACCTGAAAATGTACCAAAGTGAAGAAAGTGAACAAAGTTGATTTCCTTGTCACACTGTATATCACAATATCCCACTACATACTTCTAAATATTGCGACATGTAAAAGTCAACTGCAGCCAGATCCCCAACAAAGAAAAATTAGAGGCTATTAATTTCTTGAAATTGAAGACATGCATAAGGATGTGACATCTTTGCAATTCTGCTACAAAAATTATCTCAGCAAATCTATACAGAATTAGTTTGCCTAGCAGATGTCTACCCTGTTTAGATTATAAAGCTTAATGGGCTGTGACTCCATCATTAGGTATCTTTTTACAGTACCAGGCACATTGTTGACACTTCAGGAATTAGAATTTAGTCCAACTGAATATTACTTACATTAAAACACAAAACAGAAAATGGCAGCCTGGAACATTCTGGAACAACATAATATGCTGAGCCATTGTGTCCATCTCTAAAACTAACTAGGGAAAAGTTTCCTTGTATACCTGAACATACTTTTAAACAAGTGGATTACAATGAAAAATGGTTGGTTCACAATATTTTATAGATAGGAAAACAACAGAATCATAGAATCATGGAAGTGTAGGACTGGAAGGGACCTCAATAGGTCATCTAGTCCAGTTTCCAGCACTCCAGGAAGGATTAAGTAATAACATAACAGAATGTTTCTGCATAAGAATCTATACATATTGCAAATGCTTCTTATCTGCCACTGATGGGTGGTTCCAGATTCTGCATCAAAGTTCTCTTTTGTCCCACCTCAATCTACTGCCAATCCCCATAATGGTTGCAATTTAAAACGAAGAAAATTGGAATACTGGGTGCGTTGACATGTATATGTTTACTGAACATAGCAGTATTTTCTGATGAAAATAGCAGTCTGGTTGTTTATAAAGGGGTTCAAGCTCATTTAATTATCTGTGCACACTGGTAATATATAGCCTCTTCACCAGATTCCTACACCATTCGGTAGTAGAAACAGACCCCCCCTCCTTAAAGTTAAAAAATCAGATGTATATTTTTTCTCTTCCCAGATGCCTAAGCTGCTGACACTGCCACTCTAAGGCTACGTCTTAACTACCCGCCGATCCGGCGGGTAGCAATCGGTTTATCGGGGATCGACTTACCGCGTCTCGTGAGGACGCGGTAAAATCGATCCCTGATCGCTCTGCCGTCGACTCCGGAAATCCACCTCGACAAGAGGCGGCAGCGGAGTCGGCGGCAGCGCGGCAGCGGTCGGCTTTCCCCCGTCCTCACCACCAGGTAAGCCGACCTAAAATACGCAACTTCAGCTACGGTATTCACGTAGCTGAAGTTGCGTATCTTAGGTCGGAACACCGCTGTAGTGTAGACCTAGCCTAAAGATTGGAGAATTCTTTGCCCAGATCCTGGAGGGGAGCTACTTTCATCCCACAGCACCCTGTATTTGCTTTCTCTCATTCTCTTCTATGTCTTCCTTTTCTCAGGCATCTCTATTCCCTTCCCTTTTACCTTAAAACAGTCCGGTTCCGAAGCACTAAGTCTTCACCTGAGACAAGCTATAATGCATCACTGCAGCAACTGAGGTGGGCCTTTTGACATTGAAGTGTATGTAGCAACACCAGTGATGATAAACTCATTATTTTAATTGTTTTTACAAAAAAATTCAGCTCTAGCAGATCCATATTACTGTTTTTATACAGAACTATCACCAGGATATATAAATACAGTGAAGCAGAACACCATTATTCTAAATAGATAAGAAACTTAGGACCAAATTCTGATCATGGTTAGACCAGTCTAAATCCAGAGTAACTGTTCTGAAGGACAGAGTTCCTCCTGGTTTTTACTGGCTTAATAGAACAGAATTTGACCATCTGCATTTTAAAATTAAAAAACAGTAATTTATTGTCAGTGCTGCTGACATCAAATGGGCACAGAAACAAACTGACATCAAATGGGCTGGTCCAGCAATAACAGAGACATGTTAACGCTGGCAGACATCTCAGATCAAAACTTAGGTGGAGTTTTGTTATTGGGCTTCTTATCTGATAAGATAATGGTGATGATACAGAACAGGGAAGAAGGAATTTAGGGGAACAGCAGAAGACTGAGAAAACTGTAGCCAGGTCTAGGCTAAGAAAATAGTTCTGCTTACTTTTTGTCATATATTACCATTGCATGACAAATCATAGGTTACCTTGACAAATGTGAGCTTACAAATACAAACACTGCTTTTTGTGTTTCTGATAGTTATTTCTCCATAATGCTCTATCCACCTCCTTCCACTAAGGATGTTGTGTATGCAGGTGGTGACTTTGTTCCATACGTAGTAATCTCCATACCTGGGAATAAAGTTAGTATATAACTGGTAATGTAAATTAAATTTCAATATTGCTGACAAAAAGTGAAATCCAGCCATATAATCACATATACAAAATAATGAAATCCCTCAAAAATGTTTGAATCAGTAGTCTGGCTCATTAAAAGTGTGGCTTCCATAGTAACTATTATTCCCCATCATTAATCCTAAATTATTCTATATGGGTGAAATTCACCCCATTATAGAGGCCCACGAGAGGCCCTATGAACCACTAAAGTCCTGTATTAAAGTCTCAATCCCAGTAGTGCTGAACACTTTGGCCCTGATCAGCGACTTCAGTAGGATTAGACTTAAAGTTCAGCATGATCTACAATGCTGTGGTGGACTGGGGTCCCGGTTATCATGTATTTCTCTCAGAAGCAATGGGAACTAATAAAAGTAAAATAGGTCTGAAATAGAATGAATAGAAAGGAAGTGGGGAGCAGTAACTCAGTGGCATATTGTCCCCTGGCAACTCCATGCAGTCAGAGCTTCCCCAGTCCTGGGGAGTGGGGACAAATAGAGCCAGGGAGCCGATGCTATACATGGCATGCTCCCCTCTGAACCTGTCAGATAGCCAGGCCAATAGATATATGCAGAATGCAATGTTGTTCTTATGGTATTAGCTTCAACTTTGTGACAAGATGGAGGAAAATGTAAGAAAGATTCCCTGCGGAAGCTGTACTGCCAAAGGGCGGAGTGCACCTGAGATCTAAGATCTGCAGATTCCCAGCCTTTGAGGGTTTGGGAGGCCACACACCGCTCTACCTCTGTGACCAAATCCTCTCTCCCCTCCCTGAGGGCTACATTTGAAGGAAGCCATATGGCCCTGTCTACACAACAGAAGATTTTGAAACATTTCCCCGTTGTGTTAATCCTGGTTCAGATGAGCCCAGCATTAGCACCCTTGAGAACCCTACTGCTGACAGTGTTGAACAGATTTGCTCTGGGCAGCCCAGCATTCCAACGACTGGGTATGGAGTTAGTGCCTCCTCACATGCACCTATTCTCCTCTACCAGTGAGATGCTTTTAGAGAGTTCCCTGGTTTTCCCTCCAAGCGCCTGACTGAGCCTTCAGGCTCCAGCAATGCTTCAGTACCTCATCCTGTAATGGGAGATCGGAGCAGGGAGCTCACATCCTGCCAGCTGCTAATCATGTGGGATCTCTACTCCCCCACCACAATCCATCCAGCCCTCAGAAAGAAGAGCATCTTCCTAGATTTAAAAAACAAACAAAAAAACATAGCCAAAGGAAACAAGACAGTAACTTACTTTGGAAAAGTCACATTCAGTGTTCCAATTGGCAGGATTTCCATTGATTTCCCCCAGAACTTATTTTTCCATCTGATATCTAAATGATAGAGTGAAATATTAGAAAATTACAAAAGACCAAAATATTATACTTTCAGAGATCTATGCCACTAAATGGCATACAGATGATCTTTTGAACAGAACATTAACCTGCTTTGAAGACAGAAAAAAGGTTATTCCGGAGGGACAACCTTATATCAGAGAGACTAATGTATTCCTTGTCTCCTAACAGATAACAGTGTGTTCTGTATAAAGCTTTTAAATAAAGACAGCAGAACAAATAAACATAATGCAAGTCACTCTGGCATGGATGATAAAATACTGCATAGGCTCGTTCCTTACAGTTTAAAATTGAAACACTTTAAAGCAACAGCCAGAAATAACTTAATATAATAACTATACTAAACTAAACTATTAAATAAATTCCAGAGAACTACATCCCTAATTATAATAATTTTGAGATCATAAACTTTTTATTTGATTAAAAACTTTATCTTTAGGCTTTTGAATTAAAATATATACCTTGCCAAAACACAAAATTCTTTGATTCACAGTGACAGGCAGAAATGGGTGGATGGTGGCTAACCTGAAAAAAAAAATTACGGTGGCGAGGAGTTGTTTAACACAAAAGAAGTCTTTAATTTTTAAAAATCAGTGTAACTGACAGGTACCTCAAGCTAAAAACTATTCAGTTATGTATATTACAATAAAACAGACAAAAAAAGCCTCAGCATGTTTAACATGAAGTACACTTTATTTTTACAGCCTCCTACATTAAAGGATATATTTTATATAAATCATTTTAGTTTATTATACATTTTTTTTCTGGATTTAATAACTTTCACTTCAAACTCTCTTTACTCTAGTGGGAATACAAGATCTTAACTATAAAGAAAAATTAAAGTCACTCTGCTGTCCAAAGAAATGAAGATTTACATAGAAACAGGTTTTACCTGCTCTGAGAAAAATCGGAATCCTTTGTCTTCCCTAATACATTCATAAGTCTCACCAAGCACTGGATTGAATGGCTTGCTTCCTGCTCTGTAGTAAGTGGAGGCATACCCTGAAGCTGCAAAGGCAGCTATGAGAACCTGTTAAAACACAGAAAAACAGCTAAAGATTCCTCGGTGTGCTCCCTCATCATTGTCAATTGTGTGGGCAACAGTGTGAATAAATTTATCATTTAAAAACACTTAATTGCCCCTTTATTCATTCACTATTTGAAGGGCTACATAGTAATAGAAAACTATCAATGTCCGGCAAAGTAATTAATGGAAAGGAAAGCCTGCAGCATCTGGTTATTTATGTATCTGAATAATACACAAACCTTTGGGCTGCACATCACCATAGCCTGTGGGCACACAGAAAACATGAAACAATACAATAGGATATACACAGCCCATAATTCACAAACAAAAATTGATGATCTTTCACCATTCCTCAGCAGAGATTTAATGGCAGAGTTTGTATTAGCTGAAGTCTCAATATTAAGAATGTATTACGTTTACAAAATATACTACAGAACATTTACTATTTGCTTTGAAGTGCCATTATAGAGGCATTGGTAATGATGACTTCACAGCTGAAGTTGTACTGATCCCTTTGTTTCTTCCTTTAAATTCAGATTAAATTTTGTCTCCAAATGGTCGTATTTTAGCCATAACTGACTAGAAGAGAATTCCTCTCACTCTCCGCTGGCATAAAGCTGGCAGAGGTGGTGGAGCTGCCTCCTTCACCAGATGTCCCCCCCACCCCAGTGTAGAGAGAGGAAGGGGCATCTCAGGGATGCAGCAAAGTATGCCTTGTTCTCTACTGGCGTGGAGTCTCTAAGGGTATGTCTACACTGAAATAAAACACCTGCCGCTGGCCCGTGCAGGGGCGGCTCCAGGCACCAGCGCAGCAAGCGCGTGCCTGGGGCAGCAAGCCGCGGGGGGTGGCCTGCCAGTCGCTGTGAGGGCGGCAGTCAGGCAGCCTTCGGCAGCATGCCTGCAGGAGGTCCGCCGGTCCCGCGGCTTCGGCAGCAATTCAGCGGCGGGCACGCCGAAGCCGCGGGACCGGCAGATCACCCGCAGACACGCCGCCGAATCCGCGTGACCAGTGGACCTCCCGCAGGCGTGCCGCCAAAGGCCACCTGACTGCCGTGCTTGGGGTGGCAAAAAACATAGAGCCACCCCTGGGCCCGTGTCAGCTGACTTGGGTTGGCAGGGCTCAGGTTGCAAGGCTATAAAACTGCAGTGTAGACGTTAGGGCTCGGGTTGGAGCCTGGGCTCTGGGACCCCACAATGCAGGAGAGTCCCTGAGTCTGAACAGGTACACCGCAATTTTATAGCCCCGCAGCCCGAGCCCTGTGAGCCAGAGTCAGCTGACATGGGCCAGCTATAAGTGTTTTATTGCAAAGTACAGACATACCCTGAGGGACCTTATACCAGTGGCCTAAAATAGAGCAGCAGTAACTTAGGCTAGGGCCAGATGGTGCAGGATTGGGGAGTTGCAATTGGTCCAGGACTGCCCTTCCCATTTGTGCCTGGGTTTGGCAGGCCAATGCTCAAACTACTGAGCTATCCCTCCTCCCGAATATATATATATATAAGTATAAGATCAGAATTCCCAACGGAGACCAATAAGAATTGGGTTTTTGTTTCTGTGACACTATTTGTTTTCCTTTATGGCCATCATCATCTTCTGTTAACTTTCTTCTGAGATGACACCTTCTACCTGATGGTGTTCATTCTCAGACCAAGCCACTTTGTTTATCATGAACTGTGCATCTTTAATTTGGCTTTCTTGTATGCATGTGTTATGATATAGTCTTTAATTACATGGTCACATACTATTTTTTTCCTCAGGATCCCTGCCTTATTCAGTGTACAGTGAAGGCTTTGATCCTAATCCACCTCCTGGCCACACACAAAACCCTCTCACCCAAGTTTAGTGGTGCTTTAAACCCAGGATAGGTGTCCCAATAGGGGCATAGCCTAGAACCTGGATGCTTCTTTCACTTGGGCTGATAACCCTCCCACTTTGTAGTAAGGTCTCAGGCTAAATCACCTGTGTGCTGAAAGGCCTCCAATGCCTTCCCACAATTCACCCCTTGTGTCCAAGAGGATAGACAACCTTAATTTTGTTATTTCCTAATTTGGGCATGACTTTGCAATCTTAATGTTCTTTCATCATAGGTTTTTTGTGTGTAATTTCCTAGGTTTTTAAAAAAACAAACCGCAAAAACAGAAATTCCATCATGTAGCATCACAGCGACACCCACATGATTCATCAGCAGGATTGGAACCTTTAGATCCATCGCAGAACACTCTGTCACTTGAGCTAATTGAGTAAATGATAGCCGCAACTGGTCGTCATTCTCTGAATGGCCCAGCACACTAGAGGGCGATGTGACACTTTCCCAGTTGGTTTCATGGATATTTGCTGACAGCAGAGGACTCAGGAATCTTGGGTTCCATTCTAGACTCAGGAGGGGAATGTGCTCTAATCTGCCCATTTCCCCCAAGCATGACCCCTTCTGGCCCTATCCCTCCAGCCTATCCCTGCCCTAGTCATGTCTCTTCCCTCTGCCCCCGGCTCACTGTCCCAGTCCCGTTCTCTTCTCCTAACCAACCCCACCCTCCATTCTTCAGGCTTCTCATTCCAGTCCCAGTCCTCTTACCCAGCCAGTCCCAGTCTCCCGCATCTGTACTCCCTATCCTAGCCTCTTCCAGTCTCATCCTGCCCCGCCAGGCTGCTAGCCCATCCAATTCTACTTGACTTCTCATCCAATCTGTCTCTCCCCTTCCCCGGCCTCCCATCACTCCCACACCTACGTTACCCCTGCCCACTGGCTCCCAGTCGCAATCTCCTTTCCTCCAGTTCTGCCCCCAAGTCCCAAGCAGGATGCAGCACTCACTGGCACAGATCCATCATCTTTAGCACCTTGAAGAATGAGAGGTAGCTGAGGGCAAGAATGCGAACCGATGAAGAAAGTGTGGATGGGGTGTTGAATGACATCACTGCTTATTTCCTTGCTTTTTACAGTTTGCCTTGGTGGCCTATGCAGTCTAACAACCTTCACTCACAGTTAACATTTGTGTGTGGGTACCCTTAATAAGAAACTACACTAACTAAATAAATGTACAAGTATGCAGATATAATATCCCCAAGCTTTTTATTGTGTTTGGGTGTTTACTCACTAATTTGCAAAATTCACAATGTGCTTCCCAGTCATTAGTGAGACTTTCAGTGAGGTATAAACTTAATAATACTTATAGACACTCTCTATAGACTATAAATGTAAGTGATGTCCACAATGGGCAAGCAAACTAAGACAAACATATAATCACCATTGCCTATTGTACAACAGCAAACTAGTTAGCTGTCACTCAAGCTCAGGAAAATATCTTATACAAATGATGTATACACTAAACACTGATAATCCAAGGAAGAAAACTGTATAGCCAAGGACTTTTAAATGAAATCCTATGGCCACCAATCCCCATTTATTCAACCCTAGGGGCTGAGACCAATCCCTAGATGAACTGTAATGATAGGAAATGGGGTTGGAGTAGGGAGAAATGCCTAATCCACCCAGGTACTAGATCATTCAGGGTTATCATATCATAACTAATAGCTGGAATTGCACCCTGAAAAGATGTGGGACTTTGAGCAGAGCATGGAGCCCTGGGATAGAGCATCCACGGAAAAAAATTAGTGGGTGCTTAGCACCACTGGCAGCCAGCACCCCCCCCCCAGCACCTCCCACCCGCAGCGATGAGCTGTTCCGCAGCGTGCAGGAGGCACTGGGGGAGGAGTGGGGACAGGGCGCACTCAGGGGTAGAACTGGGCGGGAAGAGGCGGGGCAGAGGTGGAGCAGGGGGAAGAAGAGGTGGGCGGGCGCCTAGGGCGGAGCAGGTGGGGGCTCGGGGGAAGGGAGTCGGTGGGGGCAACGCCTGGGGTGGAGTGGGGGTGTTGAGCACCCCCGGGGCCCGGAGGAAGACGGGGGTGCAGACACAAGCTTTCAAACAGAGGAAGCAGGCAACCCCCATCAACTAGTTCAGGTGTTTTCTCTCACTACCTCATTGGACTGAGCCTCAACCAGTGATTGTCATTTCAGCCTCTTTTTATCCAGAAATCAGAAAGCCAAAAGACTGCAGATGAATAGGTGCTGACGCCGTGGGTGTTCCAGGGCTGGAGCACCCACTAAAAAAAAATAGTGAGTGCTCAGCACCCACCGGCAGCCCCTCCAATCAGCTCCACCCTCTCCCCCCATCACCTCCTGCCCGCCGGTGTGAGCCGCCAATCAGCTCCTTCCCCTCCCTCCCAGCGCCTCCCATCCACCACTGATCAGTTGTTCAGCAGTGTGCAGGAGGCACTGGGGTGGGAGGGGGAGAAGCAAGGGTGGGCTGTGCTTGGAGGAAGGGGGCGGAACAGGGCGGGGCGGGGGCACAGCTGAGAAGAGGCGGGACTGGGATGGGAGCTTAGGGAAAGGGGCGGAGTGGGGGCAGGGCCTGGGGCGGAACGTGGGTCAAGCCCCCCACCACAACTCAGAAAGATGGCGCCTCTAATGAGATCAGCATCATCTGGATGCTGATGGAATTACAGTTCCAAAAGTCTCGCAGTTTCTCTTGGCAATCTCACATATACAATGAACCAGGGGAATGACAAAATGGAACACTGCAGGATTCACAAACGAGCCCCTGGGGAAGATGAGAAAAATCTAAGCTTTCTCATACACAAAGTTGTGCTGTACCAAATTTATTACCATGCGTTCGTATGGATCATCAGTTTCAGCAGCTTTGTCCAGGAGTTCACTGTATTCCAATTCTTCACAAAGGTGTTGTAAAGTATTAAGAGGTTCATTTAGCTCAACTGGCATGGAGACTTTGGAGAGATCTTTGCCAATATTATTTCTCAAAATATTCCACAGATTGATATTACTGGTATCAGGACAGGGAGCTGGGAGACAAGTCCGACGTCCATTCCTGAATGCACCTCCTGCTAGCTCACCATTAAGAACTGGGTGGGGGGGAAAGAAAATATTATTGTATTGAAATCTCCCCTTTAAAAACATAACAAAATTCATTCATGGGACCAAATTCACCAGTGGAATTGCATTGCAGGTGCAATTTCATTTATTTCAGCTGAATTGTTCCGGATTACACTAGCAGTAAATTTGGCTCATGATCTGAAAACAAATGTAATTTTCTAAAGTTTTTTAAAAGTATGGTGTATACTTTGTCGGAAAACGTTGTCTGCAACACTGGTGTTGTCCTCAGATATGTTATCACTCACATCACTGATATAGGATTCATCATCAGAAGCCTAAAGAAGAAAAATTTTAAAATTAGTCAATGAAATCCAGGAAACCAATTATACAATAAAAACACAAATAAATTAAGCAAAACAAACATTCAAAGGAACCACATTTAGCCTGGCAGAGCTAAAATTAGATCTACCAGGTTTGCATGTGCAAAGAACCAAACATCTAATAGCACCAAGAGAAATTTTATGCTCACTGAATTTTCCTTAATTAAGTGTTATGGAGCCAAACAAAGACCTTCAAACTTATTTCACTTATGATTCTTAGAATTTGTTCACCCTTAGTGTGTCCAAGCCCATTCCTGTTGAAGTCTCCCCCTAGGTAGAGGATAAGAGAACAAATAACACTTAATAGAGGTTAGTCACGTTGCTTAATGCAGTAGTGGAAGGAGCTCAGATACTACAGTGATAAGTGTGGTATAAGCCACCTACATAGAACAGGAGTCCTTAGCTTCAGTGGGAGTTGAATCAGGCCATAAAAGAGCAAGAATGCTAATACAGTCCATCTTCATCTACTGACGTGTCTTTCTCCCTATGTTCTACCTCGACACCTGAGGTCAGCTGGGACTCTTTTGCTAACAGGCCCTTATTTTTAAATACCAGGATTGGAGATACGGCTTTCGCAGTACACAGCCTTCAAGCTCTGGAATTTGCTTTCCCTGTTCATTCATCAGAGTCTAAATCTGTTGACTTTCAGGTTATGGAGCAACCTGTTCACTTAGTGTGTGTGTGTGTGTAAATGTAATACATTTGCTGAGTTTTTTTGCACAGGTAGGTATTGTACAATGAAAAATAAAAATGAACACAAGTATTACTTCTCTCATTTTAAACTGACCTATTGCTAACATCACTCCAACAGATGAAGGAATTTCAAATCAGGAGTTCAAGCCAGTTTTTACAATAATTTGACCTATTTTATTTCCTTCCATTTTAAGTCACCAAAGCTGCTGCTGTGAGACTGTTGTATTTCCTGCTCACACTTAAATGTCATAGCACAACCCAAAACGACTGTTTTACTGCTACTGTACTGAAGCAGGAAGTCTGCCTATGGTAGTGACAAAGGGATGCTGCTAAGTTAATATATTCTAAATGCTTTACTTCTGTTATAATTAGAGCTATGTGAATGACTGATTTTTTTGGTTTCCTGGCAGTTCCAAAAACAAAAAAATTACTTCTGGGCAGACTCAAAACAAAAATTTTTTGAAGCTTTTGGTGAATTGAAAAGTCCAAAAAATGTATTCTGGTTGAACTAAATGTTTTGTTTGGCTTGAAACATAACATTTCATTTAGATTTGAGCATTTTTTAAAAATAAAATAGAAGCAATTTTTTCAGCTGTGCAGTGCAGTACTCAGTACAATACACAGCTGTACTTGGCAATAGAGCACAGTATAGTTGTACATAGTACGATAATATCTATTATGACACATTCAAATACATAGCTATTCAGTCATACAGGGCAAGACTGGGTGCACAAGTGTGGTAACTGCATATGCAAATAGCTAGTTAGATCTCTACACTGGGCACATACATATATATCTGAATGCATGGTACAGACATCTCACCTGGAGTTTGCAATCACAGTAATTGGGCATGCAAAAAAAACCTGCAAATATAATTTTATACATGCAATTCTAAAAAACATGTCTCACAATCTCATTAGTTTATCATGCAGGCATCACAAAATGCTGTCTGGTCCTTAAAGATTAGAATCAATCTTCCTAACTTATATTGCAAGTAGGCATTTCAGAGCATTTCATAACAATAATCAAAGTATGGTTCAGGGTAGAAATATGTCTGTGCCCTGCATGCACTTGTAAATATGAGGCTAGTAGCTCCTCCTAAACTTTCCTTTCCACCTGCTAACTCATGAAATGCCTTGCTGGCTTGGCAGGAAAGTGTTTGTTATCTGCAGACAATGGAATTGCATGATGGATCACTTAGCAGTGATGCAGCACAGCTTTTCCCATACTGCTTCAGAATGGCTGAGTTTCCACTTTATACGTAACCAAGCCCCGGGGTTAATTTTCTGCTTTCAGTTTTCCTGTCTAGTACACTGTTCTGTAGAACCCAGTGCCATTGTAATCTGGGGACTGAAACATTTAGCTGAACAATGGGGAGCTCAGGACATGTGCCATTAGGGAGACATTAGAAAGCCAATCAGCTTTCAAAGGTCAAATGGAAAAGGAGCATCAAGGTTTGCTCTCTGGACCAGGCCACTTGAGATGTATCGTATTGTGTGTACAGGCTGATCCAGTGTCACAGCAAGTAGAATTACCACATACCACATAGTGTATAGTTTCATACACACACACTTTGAAGAAGAGTTCTGTGTGGCTCAAAAGCTTGTCTCTCTCACAAACAGAAGTTGGTCCAATAAAAGATATTACCTCATCCACCTTGTCTCACACACACTCGCACTCATTCTTTATTACTGATGTTAGGTTTTTTAACAAACAGTTATTTATACTACATTTTAGGCTTAACCTGCCTGATAAGCTCTCTTTAATTAGCATATTTCTATCCTGTAGAACATAAAATAAATCACAGCTCAAGGAACAGCAAAGTTATATAAACAGTAATTCCTGATTTTGAAGCTGCGTTTGCCATTCAGCTGGTATCAGTGTTAGGTTATTTTGCAAATTATTATTTTTTAAAAACTTCTGTGTTGGCCTTTCCAAACAAAATTTTCTTTTTCTAAAAAGTTTATAATTCCAAAATACTACACAATGCATGAAAACTGCAAATAATGATTGTCAGACATATATTATTAGTGTGACTTAAGATAATCAAAGCTTAAATGTTCTAAAATATGCTGAAATATGTTCAGGTCTATGTAGCTGATCCAGAGGGAGATGGTAACAATACACTGTACACCTGGTAGATCTAGAAATTGAATTAAAGATTCTATTCTCCAGATGGAGAACCCTGGTCACATTGTTCTTGTAGCATCCTGTGCCGAATAATTGAGAGTTTTCCTGGTGAAAGGTACAGTACATTGGCACACTCTGCCATGAGTAAGCCAATAATGCCGAAAAGCTGGAGGGAAAACTTGGCAATTGTACAAGATCGCTTCATTACTGTGTTCTAAATAGACTAAAAAAATTTAAAGAATTAGTCAAGGTATTTTTAATATTGCCCCCGTGGCCCTCCAAGGTAAGGGAGAAATGGTTAAAAAAATCCTACCAAACTGAACAAGCAATATTTTTAAAGCTTTAATACACACAGAGAAAATGTAATTACATTATTCTGTGGCATACAGCAAGCTAACCAAAACAAAATTATGCTCTTGGATATGAAGCATTCTTTTTGGACCCATATTTGTTAAGTGTTAATTAAGAAGACACTCATTTTTCATCACTCAAAATACCTTATGATGCTTAACTTTTTAATATCTCCAAAAATCCTAACAGTAATTCAGATTTGTCAAGAATAAAACAGGAGAAGTAAATCAGCATCTGTTCTGTGTTCCTTTGTAATCCCCCACATTGCTAGCTCCACAGAGAAAGTGGGAAGGAAGGAAGGAATTAGCTTCTCAAATTTATCTGAGCACATATGGCACACTGTAACTTACTCACCAACCTCCGCATGAAGACTAAAATTTTATCTCCTCTATTTTAAAAGACTGTTGTGCTAGAGAGAAACTGACACTAGATAATTATGAAATCCTGCCCTCATTGACTCATGGGCTGGGGGAATAGAAAGTGCCAGCATGTCGCTAATAAAAGAGCCATCCTGCCAGTGCAAGGCACAGCATATGTGCTATTCAGCAGGGGGCCTAACCATGCTAGATATTCTAGATAGTAGCACGTATTCCCTTGGGTGCACAGTCAGGACAGAGGCCAGGTCCTACCCGTGGTGTGCTCCTGAACAGCTGTAATAGAGATTCTGTCCACTTGTTTCAGGGGGAAATTGGAAGTAATAGGCTCCATACCCCCTCTTCCCAATAAACACACATGGCTCAGCCCAGTGCAGAACTTGACTTTTTTAAGTTAAAGCAGCATCACCCACTTGTCTTTTGGGCAGATAGCAGCAGAGCAATATAGTTGTGGCATCTGCAGAATGCCACAACACAAGAGAGGAGTTTAACCCTTAACATGAATGTAATGTTCTAAGACAAAAGATGGGAATGTACGAAACTCATCTTCTTTCTCTCTCCCACTCCCTGTCCCCAGTCATCTTCCTAAGTCCTCCCTGGTTACCTGCTAGTAAAGGCCATCCCCCTCATAGCACAGGTGCTGAAAGTGCCCACTGCCCAGGCAGAGACTCCATTCGACACAGAACTGACCTCTCCCACCAGCCTGACCATTGGGATCAGGTCAGCCCTGCTATGGGCTCTGTGCCAGGAGCTCCCCCACGCTACAGTTGCTCACACTACTCAGAGCTATCTACCCCCTGCTTCTTACGTCCATGAGTTAGGGGACAGGGCTTGTCACCAGGAAATAGAAAGGTAGGGCAGAAGAACAGGGGGGAAGAGGTTCTTTGCAAGGGAGGTAGAGGGGAGGTTTGGGACTGGCTCTTCCCACCATTCCTGGGTAGGTCTCACTTCCAATTAGCCAATGATCCAACTTCTTCCCTGGCATGATGCCCCTTATTGGGTACCGCCAAACCCAAATAAACTGGCCAGGCCAAAACTTGTAAAATACCTAACACTGCTCTATGACAAGAGCATATGCAGAATGGTATTTATTGTAGAACAGGAACAAATACTTTTTAAGCATCCTCCCAGTCACTTTCTGTTCCTCAAAATTAATCATGGGGGTGTGTGTGCATGTGCGCACACGCAAATGAGAGAAGGGGAAAAAATTCTCTATTTTGTTATTTCATTAATATTTCCCCCTTGAATAAATGAACTGATTTTGTCAGGCAGTCCCTGGTTCCTCGCCTCTCTCTGTATAGATTGTTCAGCAGATATTAACTAAAAGAGCTCCTCACTGGGGTGAGCGATGTAAGAATCGGTTTTCCTGCCTACCATCACAATGGATGCAGTACAACAACAAGGTGGTTTAGTATTAGGTGACAGCAGCACAGGCAAGGTGCTCAGTGAAGCAGGAAGCTCCCAAGCATTGCACATTAATTTGTTCTCCTTGGACAGGTTTATTCTAATTATAAAATTAAAAGATTTTCAGTTTAAAACAATAACAGTAATAATAATAAAACCTAGCTCTTTTATAGCGCTCTTCATCTGTAGATCTCAAAGTGCTGAAAACAATTACATTAGCTGGGGGATGGTTTCTGGAGGAACCTCCTGTGAGCAGCTTAGGTTATAGATTCTAGCCCTTGGGGACTGAAAACTGACAATCCAGGGCCTTGAGATTAGGCAACGTAAAGAAGAAAATTATGGTTTTTCCTGTCTCCAAAAGGGGTTAAAATAAACTATTTATTTTGATAGCAAGTCCAATAATACAGTCAAAGAAGAGTCTTTTTTTTTTAATTAAGGGCAGATTTTCCAAAGAGCTAAGCACCCAGCAGCTCACTTGAGATAAATAACAAAAACACTGGAGGCCTTTGCATACTTACAATCTTTAGAGATTTGTTCCCTTTGCTAAATCTGACAGCAGCCTAGACTATGTTTCACCTGGTGGAGCTGTGGGATCTCCACTGTGAAGCCTATGAAGTTATTTCAGCTGGCACTCAAATTGCCTTCAATGGAGAAACTAGCTATTTTCTTCTTTTATTAAAAGATGCTTTTACTCTCAGCTACTTCCAGCCTTACATATGGCAGCGGGTAGTAGAATACAAAAGAGTTTTAAGTGTCCTGTGTCTCTCTTCAGGGGTGCTTTAGTCTGTGTCATGTTAACATTTAAGGCTCCTCACAGCAGATGCTCTGACTGAGGTTGAAGTAGAATCTGCAGCTGCTGGTTTCAGAAAACAATTTGAAGGTCTTATTTGTCTATACATCCTAAGGGGCAACAGTGTTTTTATATGTTTTAAATGGATTGAAATTATTGTTTTTTTTTATTTTAATTTCAAGGTACCAACTATGGAAACATCCAGTTGGGGAATTCACTCTCTGAGCTAGATGGTAGTCTTGAGAAATCTGAGGAATCAGCACCCTGCAAAGACGCTACTGCTCTCCTAGGGAGTGTGGGTGTTCAGGGCAAGAAATCTGCCACTTGCTCCCAATCCTTTCACATCAGGCAGTGGCTATGTAACAACAGGATGTTGCTCCCTCCCCTGAAGTGTGAAATCACTTTTCCTTGTGTGGTGTAGTGTAGGGTTAGGAAAGTGAAGCCTGAAAAGGTGTACAAGTGCAATGCAACTTAACAGCAGGCAAGGAAACAACAGGGGACTGGAGAGAAGAGGATTGTTGTAGCTCTTAAAGAATGTGGATGCAAACTTTATCAACAGGGATGCTATTTGGAAAGATGAAGTGATTCCATTTAGAAATTCTACAATAGCACTTTTAAAAAGCCATAGTTAAAAGCACATGATTATCCACAAAAACCACAGTAGGGGATTTAGAGACACTGTATAGCACAAACAGAAGAAAAATTAAAGGGAAGTTCCACATGCCACTCACGCAAGCATGGGAGAATTCTGCAGTGCAAATCCTCAGCACACCATTCCAAACGCTATGTAAATATCTGGAACAACCCAGGAGAGTTAGGGATGGCAGCATTATTCTGTGGCCTGAACTATTCCTGTCTGCTTTAGTTTGCAGTTTGAACAACCCCCTTGCCCAGTTTTCCAGATACTACCAGTCACAGATAGTGACTTTGCGTAATTTTTCTTTTAAATTCAGATGGTTTCATCCAGATTAGTGGCCACCCACAGACACACATTATGGATCCCTTCCATCTTACCCTTATATAGAGATTTACATTGGCTAGCAAGGATATATACCAAATACACTGCACTTCTACACAATAATTCTAATTGCTGTGGCTCTCCATGGAACACTTAAGAGTCTCAGGTTTACTTGTCATTGCTACCTCAGAACATTTCCTAATTAGGGTCAAAGTTTCATTCGGTAATTGTTGTCTTATACTATCTGATCCCATGGTTATTAAGATTATTGACAAACAGCACATGACACACTGCCATGGCCTACCTCATTTTCTGATGAGCTTGCCGACAAAAGCACTTCCTGTGCATCAAAGAATTCAGAGACAGATTCGGACATAGAGAGCCTGCTCTCATTAGAAACTTGCTGAGACAATGGGAGATTAACATGGATTTGTTCACCAGTCTGCAAACAAAACAAACATAAGGATGTAAAATGCTATTTCTAATACACCAAAACTGTGCATACAAGGTAAAAGATGCAGCGTAGGAAAAATTATCCACGTGAAACACTTATTTGAAGTACGTATCTGGGCCAACATTTCATAGAAACTTGTGTACAATTAATAAACGTGACTTGAAATATTACAAAAAATGTAGTCCTCTGAATAATTACACATCCATAAAAAATAAGATATAGTCCTTCATTGGATCCCTATTCAGAAGCAGAAGTAAATAAGCTTCAGTAGTGTATATAATCATGGATCTGGATTCTGTACCCAGAGGAACAGCTTTGTGGACTTCTGTTGTATAGTGCTAAAGCATTTCAATCATGAGCTCCAGAGATGTTTGGGGTGGAGACATTTTTCATAATATTTTTCATTAACCAGCATGGGAACTAGCCTTGCTACAATTAAAACAAAAAATGGCTTAAAAGGCTGGGGGATTATTTTTAATTATTATTTTCAAATTAATGCCCCTCTTAATTCCAGTAGTGACAAAATAACCTCTTGAAACATGGCTACGTTCAGAAAAGTGATTACTGAAACTTCTTACTCCATACAGCAGTTCCCTGTGTGTACTCTGAGTCATACTGGGATTACTTCAGATAACAATAAATGATTATTGATATTAGCACCAAAGAGCCAATACAGCTAAGGAGAATGAGCTGGTATGGCTTGAATCAATATAATTGTACACTACAGGATAGACTACTATTTCCACGGGACAACCCGGAGAGAGGGAGAAAAAAATTCAGAGAGGTTTTCCCTATATCATACCATTGGGGTGGAGAGAGGAGTGGGGATTGCTCCACTGTGGAATGAATAGAGGATTCTCTCCCACACTCCCCAGATACTTGCTAAGATACATAGTGGAGACTCTGCAGAAGACCAGAGCCAGCATACAGAGGCCCTGTGACTCCACGCAAGCCCTTCCCGCTCCTTCTATCGCTCTCCCAAATCTCTAGCATTGTGGCTCCATTGGTGCCATCTAGCCCAGGCTTCCTCCACAACCAGCTGCCCCCCAAAATACTCCCTTAAAGGAGGTTTCCACAGTGTGGCGAGACTGCACAAAAATTATCATCTCGTCCTCGTGTGATGGTTCTCAGACCTACAGAGCAGCCTCTATGGCATCTGGGAAAAGGAGGTACATGAACACAGGTTATAATTAATGATGATGATACCTGAACAAGAAAAGGGCCAGCTTAACACTCAGCTTCCAGGCGGAGCTTCCAGGGCGGGCATTTAGAAAAATATATACACCTCTACCCCGATATAACGTGAGCCGATATAACACGAATTCGAATATAACGCGGTAAAGCAGTACTCGGTGGGGCGGGACTGCACACTCCGGCGGATCAAAGCAAGTTCGATATAACGCGGTTTCACCTATAACGCGGTAAGATTTTTTGGCTCCCGAGGACAGCGTTATAGCAAGGTAGAGGTGTATTTACTTTTTAATTGTGTGCATTTGATGCAGTACAGAAGCTGCTTAGATACAATACATATGGGACCCAATGAAACAATTCCTGTTCAGAGTACAGGTGCACTCCTTACTAACCTCAGCACAGAAACCCTGAAAAAAATTTTGTTGACATGTTAGTCTACACAAGCTACTAATACTGTAACACTATTTTATAAAGTTGTCTCAATTTGTACAATAGTTAATTATAAATATAAAAAGTATAGGTTAAACACCATTTTTTCACCACTGATGTTTGGGGAAATGAGTGTTTAAGTGATGGGGCTTTTGTGAGCTTGTTGATGCTTTATGGTGTTTGACTGATCATAACCATCAGAGGGGACTAGTTTATTGTTGTTATTTATATAAGAAGGCCATTAAAGTTTTAAAATTTTGTGCGGACTGTACTTTTTTCCCTCTAATTAGTATAATGCACCAGAGCCAAGTATAAGTGCTGAAGAAATCAAATTAAACAAAGTATTAAATGTTTATAAATATGACAAAATGTGAATACTTCTTTCTAAACTTGATTTAAAAAAATACTGTGGAGTGCATTCTCAGAAGCATAGCCTGCCTTCACCAGGAACAAATGTCACCTGGGCAATGAATTGCTGCAATAATTTGAATAGCTGGAGGGGCAGCTGCTCAAATTTTTGCATATAATTCATTTTTGGGGTACAAAAATGCAGGTGCAAACAGGGAGGACACATATTAGCCTGATTGAAAAATATACCCACATTGCACATACATTACAGAGTGATGAAGAGGAGTCAAATTCAGACTTGGTGAAACAGGTCCAACTCTATGAGCTCCAATAGTCAAGACACATTTATGACAAAATATATGTGTATATATTGAAAAGTAATAACTAAGTAACATTAATGTTAACCAACAAAAACAAAATAAAAAGAATTAAAGAAAAGTCTGTGTTAAGGCTCTAACTCCAGACCGTTGTGCCTTTCCATTGTTGGACACGTGATCCTCCATCTACAGATTCCACAACGCTGGATTCCAATCAAACTGTATTTTGGACTTTCCAAAATCAAACACACAAATAACTTAACATAGATTTACACTATTCTTTCTTGTTGGGAAAATAATTAGGAGACAAATGGTACCTTAATTGAAATGGCTTGACACATCTAAAAAACAAGTTTCTGAATGGAAATGCCGGATGGAAAACATACTGGTGAAATACCAACACAGACAACGATAGACACACAACATTAATTTGTAATTTTTGATATATAATCATAAATGCCCAAATTCAGATCTATTCTTCTTGTGAAGTAAACTGAACTGCCATTCACACAAATACTCAATAGAGGGTATTTTTTGTTGACTGAGGATAGAGAGGCAGTAAGGACCAGATCTGGCAAACACTTACTGCCAGCATAGTGCTTACTTTGTTCTGTGATCCCCTTGACTTCACTGTGATAAATGCAAAGTAATGCACATTGGAAAACATAATCCCAGCTATACATACAAAATGATGGGTCTAAATTAGCTGTTGCCACTCAAGAAAGAGATCTTGGAGTCATGGATAGTTCTCTGCAAATATCCACTCAACATACAGCAACACTCAAAAAAACTAACAATGTTAGGAACCACTAGAAAACGGATGGATGATAAGCCTGAAAATATCATAATACCACCATATGAATCCATGGTATACCCACACTTTGAATACTGTGTGCAGTTCTGGTCATCACACCTCAAAAAAGATATACTAGAATTGGAAAAGGTACAAAGAAGGGCAACAAAAATGTTTGAGGGTATGGAACTGCTTCTGTATGAGGAAAGATTAAAAAGAATGGAACTTTTCAGTTTGGAAAAGAGACGACTAAGAGGGAATATAATAGAGATCTATAAAATCGTGAATGGTGTGGAGAAAGTAAATAAGGAAGTGTTGTTTACTCCTTCACATAACACAAGAACTGGGGTCATTCATTGAAATTAATAGGCAGCAGGTTTAACACAAACAAAAGGAAGTACTATTTCACACAATGCACAGCAATCTGTGGAATTCAGTGCCTGAGGAGGTTGCGAAGGCCGAAATTATACAGGGGTTCAAAAAAGAGCTAGTAAGTTCATGGAGGATAGCTCCATCAACAGCTATTAGCCAAGATGGTTAGGGATGCAACCTCATGCTCGAGTATCACTAGCTTATGACTGCCAGAAGCTGGGAATGGATGACAGGGAGTGGATCCCCCAATGATTGCCCTGTTCTGTTCATTCCCTCTGAAGCACTTGACATTGGCCTCTGTTGGAAGACAGGATATTGGGCTAAATGGACCACTGGTCTGACCCACTATGGCCGTTCTTATGACCATCTACAGTAATAAGCACCATGCCCCATAAGCATTTGCAGGACTGGGCCCTGATATACTGCAAGCAACCAAGATACAGTCATTCTCAGGTACTCATCTGGTTACATAAAAATACAATAGAATCTCACTAATTCCCACTTCACTAAACCACATGCAATAATTTATACTCAAAATCAGTGAGGTCTCTCCCTTTCTCAGCAGAGGTTTAATAGCAGAGTTCTCCAGTGAGATCTCACATTGCTGAAACTTCACTGCTTTCATGAAAGATACTCCAGAATATATCCTCCTTGCTTTTTATATATAAATGTGCTTGTTCACTTGCATGCCAATTTGCAAAATTCAGTACATTTGCACAAGGTCTCTCAGTTATTAGTGAGAATTAGCTAGGTTCGATTGTACACTAATTCCATTAAAGGCTAAAGTCTTACCTCATCAGGACTAGGGATAATATTTACACTGACAACCTGATCACAAATAACAGACTCAGAATGTATTCTGTTCAAGCGACTCCTTAGTTCAGCATTCTGGTTGAGAGCCTTAAAATAAAAATTGCACATTTAATTTCAAATTAAAAAGCAAGCATAAAACAGAGCAAAAAAAGAGCAGCTGAACTACATACTTCCCAGAAGTGTCCTAATAAATTACAGAATCTCTTTAGCTGCATTTTTACACCCTTTCTGGCCATCAGGTATGTGATTCATATTGCTATTTTTTTCCCTTTGATTTTAGCAATTTTCACGTTAAGGAGAATGATGTTCTTCCATAACACACCAATGGTATTCTGCCCAGCTTCGTTCTCTGTGTAGCTCAAAGTGTTTGGGAAATATACCAGTGGGTTATGCATATTCTGAAAAAGGGGTGTGAAAAGAGCAAGGAAGAATGAAGCTGCATCAGATTACTAAAGGGATACCCCCTCCTTCCCACATGCCAAAAGAGGCACCACTTGTGTTACAGCTGTGAGGCAGGTACTGAGCTTGGGCTGCCAGCATGAAGAGCAAATCAGAGGAAACAGCTAACCCTAATGCAAAAACAGAACAGTTGGCTCATGATGTGATTTTCAAAATACTCACATTAAGGGAAACATACAATGCATACACAGAAACATTAGTGTCAACTTATTCACAGCCCAGGGCGAACAAGGTCTTTACAGATAAATACACAGATAAGATTCTTGCTCCAAATGGTTCACACTCTATATAGACATAGGATGGGGAGATGGGATGCAACAGGAAGTAGCAATAAAGTTAGTTCATATATTGTAATTCCACAATTTTTTATTTCAAGTTTTCTTTCTATTTTCATTTCCTATTGTCTATTTTGTTAACACATTCTGAAGAGAGGATTAGGTTGTACAGATCTCTTGGTAGTTGTGTGCTTTAGGAGGGACTTGAGGGGGGTCAGGAAAATGTTCCAGGAGAAGACAATGACACAGAAAAGGCATGGAGACAAGACCAAGAAGTCACAAAGGATATGTTTACACTGCAATTGTCTACACATGCCAGCTGACAGGGCTCCAGCTAAGGGGCTATTTAGTTGCTATCAAGCTCTGGGACCCTCCCACCTCGCAGGGTCCTAGAGCCCAGACACCAGCCCAAGCCCGAATGTCTACACCACAATTAAAGAGCCCCTTAGGTATAAGGTGCAATTAGACACCCACAGCTGGCCCATGCCAGCTGACTCAGGCTCAGGGGCTGTTTGATTTCAGTGTAGACATTTGGGCTCAGGGAACCTCCCACCTCACAGGGACCTAAAGTCCAGCCCAAACCTGAGCCCGAGCCCAAATGTCTAGCGATTCTCAATATGTGGTCCACGGACCCCCACTATGCCTAAGGGGTCCACAAAAACGTAGACTGAAAACTAATTCAACTATATATACCCAGACAATAGATTTCCAAAGGGGTCCAGCACCTCCATTCAAAATTTTTTAGGGGTCTGCAAATGAAAAGTGGTTGAAAAATCACTGGTCTACATCACTATTAAACATCCCCTTCCTTAGCCTGAGCCTGAGTCAGCTGGCATGGGCCAGGCACAGGTTTTTAATTGCAGCGTAGACGTACCCTTACCCTGAGCCACTCGAGCCAAAGTCAGCTGGCAAGGGCCAGCCACGGGTTTTTAATTGCCGTGTAGACATACTCAAAGGGGCGATTAGTTGTGAGTCTTTAGTGGCGCAAAAGGGGCAATATTATTATTTTTGTTGTCTGATCTCAGCTCATCTGATGTAGGAATCTGCACTGTTCTCTAGTGTCCAAATCCTTCTCCTATTGAAGTCAACAGAATTTTGCAATAAGCACAGTGACAGAAGGGTCAATAGAATTTCGCTAGTGCAGTAACAGAACTCTTTTATTCCTGATTTTTAAAGTAATTAGTTGTATCTGATGTGTGGCTGTTCTTGTTTTGTTTTTTGTTCGAGGCATTCTGTTAAGCTGCTACTAATCAAGACAAAGGAAAATATTACAACTAGGCAGAGGCGGATTAGGGGTTTGTGGGGCCCTGGGCCAGAGCAAGTGGGGCCCCTCCCCACTCCTTCCACCTGCAGTCTCCCCGGCCTGTCCGGCGCCCGGAGCAGTCTGGAGGAGCCCCAAGCCACGGCCGGCCAGGGCAGAGTCCTGAGCCCAGGCTGCCCAGAGGAGTTCTGAGCCCTGACATGGCCTGGCCCCAGGGCTGCAGTGGGGAGCATTAGCGAAGGTTTGGGGGAGGCTTACCTCTCCCAGCCTCCATTACCCGCCACCCATGCACTGCATTAAACACCACTTTAGAAAAAACAGCTCTCCATGTTCAAATCACAATGTTTTACAGTTAGAGCTGGGTGAAATTTTTCAGGCAAATATTTAATTCACCAAAATATACAGTTTGGGGGCAACCAAAACTTTGTGTGTCAAACTCAGCAAACAGTTTCAGTCAAGAGAAAAAGTAAAAAAATCGCATTTCTATCATGTCAAAATGAAACATTTTGATTTGTTGTTTCAAAATTTGCCTAAATTTAATTTTTTTAAATGATTTAAAAACCAAAAATGAAATTAAACATTTTGTGTCAAACTAAACATTTCAGTTGACCCAAACTGATCTTTTTTGTCAGTTTTTCTTTTCACTGAGAAAATAAAAAATGTTGTTGTTTTGGGTCTACCTGAAACTAATCTATTTTTTGAGTTTTTGGTTCGGCCACGAAACTGAAAAAATCAATTATTTGTATAGTTCTATTTATAATATATGCTGGATGGCCAAAATACAATCCTTGCACTGAATAAAAAGTGTTCATATGCATTTCCCCCTTCATACAGTAGCAGTTGTTCCACAGTATCACAGTGACAGTAGATTCATTTGCTCCTGGCTGTTCCCTCTGCCTGCCTTTATCTCCTCTCACCTTTACTATAAACTCCCTTGTCCATGGCCTTCCCAACCCCCAGCTCTCTACACACCAGTATGCACAGATTGTTGCCACCCATCTTTCGTCATACACCAAAAGTACAACCACAGCCCTGAACATCTCCACTGGCTACTCATTTATTTCAGGATCCAGTTCAAAACTGCCTTCATTGTTGTAAACAGACATTCCAAGCTTCCTCAAATTCCTTGACTCTCACTGCTCTTCTCCCATTTCCCTCCCTTCTCTAGTACTAACCTCGTCATCTTTAACCCCTTTGACATACTCCAATGTTGTTGCACAAGCCTCACCCTCCTCAGCTCCTGCATCTCATGTCTAATCTCGGATGAAAAATCATCATGTATCTTTTCTCCACTGCCAGCACTGCTTACTTTCTCTCTCCCCGAGACACAACATTTATTTAAAAGAAAACTCCAGTTCTCTCTCCTTCCTTCCCTCTGCCCACACTGAACACTACTCAGATCTGCAGCAAAGTCAAATAAAATTCATTATTTTGAACTAGCATTATCGTTAACAAAAGAGAGAACATTTTCAACCTCTGCTATGGCTGCGGCTCTCGCTGATCTTGTTCCATGATGGCTGCAATTTTCTTACTAACAGTTAGGGAGTAAGAGAAATGAGGACAGGATGGAACTCATTCTGCATTGCAGTCAATGGGACAAGCTCGGGACTGAGCACCATTTTAAAGTAAATTTCACTTTATTAAAAAAAATGCCATGTATTTTAACTGAACTTGTTTGTTTTTTCCAATGCTAGCTAGCTGTCAGGAATTTCAGGTGTAAGATAGTCTACTCCATTGTCCCTGAGAAATGGTGCATCTCTCATCTCTGTCCCTTTTCCCTAATTCTTTTGGTTCATATGGTTCTCAAAAATCTTTTCCTGGGACACCCCCTCACCCATAACCCTCTCTCATCTAGCAGGATCTAGCCAAGACCCACATTCTCATTTAGCAATATGGGAAGAGTAGGGTAGACATGACCCCCATGTTGAGAACCCATGTTTATTCCACCACGCCATCAGACCTCATCTCTAGACACCAACTACCCTCTGAGAAGTCATCTGGTGAGTGTCCTGGCAAGGAGAACAGATGTGCACCAATTCTCAGTTTGGGAGGTGCTGGTTATTTGGAAAGTTGAAACTTCAATGTTTATTTCTTAAATAATATTTGCCATTTTTACTTTTACTACAGTATTTAAAACTGCCCATACAATTTTTGAAAAAGAAAAACCCTTGGCTTTCTCTAACTCGCCAACTGTATTATTTAATCTGTTTCAAACTATAATTGTTGCAGTTTTGGAAATGTGATCAATGGGCTGAGTGAAAATTTGAGTTAACAGTAGCTTGCAACACTGTTGCTGTCAGTGCTAGGGAGTATATGTGCATTGTTTGGAGCTTAGAGGATAATGCATACTGAAATTAACACTGAGGGGGATACTCTAATTTTTAACTGCTGATTTTGATTATTTCTAGTGACAATTTCGGATCATGAGAGACTATCTAAAGATACAGTTATCTGGAAAATGACTCTTTTAGAAATCTATATAAATTTCCTCCATTTTGAAATATGGCATATAAAAATGCACTGAAGAAATGTGCATTATCCAAGCTCCACAGAAGCGAAGAACAGTTATCTAGCCTGGGCTGTTTCTAGGGTGACCAGATGTCCCGATTTTATCGGGACAGTCCCGAACAGTCCCGATTTTGGGGTCTTTTTCTTATATAGGCTCCAATTACCCACTACCCCTTGTGAAAAATCGGGACATTTGCTGTCTGGTCACCCTAGCTGCTTCTGTCTGTCTATCTTAGTTTTGTACAGCTGCTCATCACCGTAGTATTTGAGTACATTAAATAGATCCACAACAGCAAAGTCACTAGTGGACTTCACAGAGTCTCTGACTTCTGTCTTTTCAGGTTATACAACACTCAGTTTGGGTTAGTGGATTTGTATATGGGTTTTTTTGGAGCAGGCAGATGGGGCCATAAAAAGATGGGGAACAGAGGTAGTTGTTGTGAATGTCATTCTGGTTATGGTGGAGGAGCTTTCCTATGTAGGGAAGAAAGTGACTAAAGAGATAGACCAGGAAAGAGTTTCGCTGAGTATTTTACTTACATGTACATTTCAGTAATACATTACTATCTTAAACAAAAATTAAT